TATGCCGCTACAGTCCTCAAAGCACACCTAAGGCCTAAGGTTCAGGTTGCCAGGCATGGTCTGCTTCATCACTATCGACCGCTATTGCTGAGAGGTGGACAGAACAGACGTGTAGGAGAAAAACGATAGAATCTGCAAGGAGTGCTGTCATCGGCAGGTGCATAGTTGTTGACGCTGCCGAGGCCCATGTCTTCGCACCCTTGTGACCTTTTCGGGCGTTCTCTCTCCTATTGTCCTTTTGTCGAGTGCCCGGCGTCTGCAGCTGGCCGACGCCAGTTGTCCTCGTCAGCACGGGTCTGCGGCGTCCTCGCGGTCTTACAAGCTCAAACGAACAGAAAGGCAGCAAGGGGAACCTCATTGGTCAGTCTCCACTCTTTACGCATGCCCTACCGCTGCTTCTTCTAGCCTTCCCAAAGTTCCAATCTTGCTGAAGGGCAGTGCTCCCCACAGCCACGCCTCCCGCCGGCCGGCCGGCGCGGGCCTTCCTGACTAGACTCACAGGAGACACCCAGGACATAAAGCTCAGCAAGGCATATCAAGGCAGGACGAAACATCTACATCTTCGGCCAAACATTTTGCCAAATTCGTGTGGCAGGGTGGCAAGGGGCCCCCCAATGGCTCCAGCCTCGGCAGGCTCGCCTCTCTTGCGCCAATCTTCGCGGGTACTGCACAGGAGGCCAATTGAATTTGGTACATCTTGATATTCGGGATCCGGGCTCGAGGGCACATGAGCAGTATGGGCTCATTGGGAGCGACCAGCACGAACCCATGAAAAGCAACTTAGCACGTAGCACTTCCGCCTAAATGAGATTGGACATCAACATTATTAGAGCACGGACTAGTGACTAGTGACTAATACAGAGAGTGAAACGAAAATGCAATCAGAACCTTGGCACAACCTTATGCTCCTTTTGTGGCATGAGTCCGGCAGAAAGCCTTGGGGCATCCCTCGCAGCATCCCCTCCGCGGCGCCAGCTGTCACCTGCGCCTCCTGGGGCAAATCGTTGGCAAAGGAAGCGACAGAGATTTGCATGCACAACACTTGCACCCGAAACGACGCTCCACATTTTGTACTTGATGCCTTTTGTGTGGCGGTCAGGTTAGGGCGGGAGGGGGGCGGCGGTTGTGTGTTGTGCCAGAAGCCAGTCTGGAACGTCACTTAAAGGGAAGTCGGCTCGGGTCTGCTCAAGATGCCTCAAATGATTCTGGCTTCGGCTGTATGCACAGCTTGTGGCGTTGTGGGGTACACACACACACACCCAACGGACAGACACGGACACAGACACAGACACAGATACACACACATACACACACACACACACACACACACACACACACACACACCTACACACCTACACACCTACACACCTACCCACCTACCCACCTGCCCACCGACCCACCGACCCACCGACCCACCGACCCACCGACCCACCGACCCACCAACCCACCGACCCACCGACCCACCCACCCACCGACCCACCGACTCACCTACCCACCTGCCCACCTGCCCACCTACCCACCTACCCACCCACCCACGCACCCACGCACCCACACACGCACACACGCACGCACACCAATTCCGCCGCCGGATCACAATAGATAACTAGTACAACAACATGTGTTTAGACATGCGTTGCACTATCAAAAGCTACCAAGCAAGCTTTTTTATGACTCCCAGTGCCGCGTTGCTGTTTCGCACCTCGTTACTATTAAGCTCTCTCTGCTGAGCTCTTGTCAGCAGGTCACTGCGGAGCCACCACCATGTCCACGCACTGTTTTTTCCACGTGACGCCATCGTTGTCAAATACGACCATGGTAGGAAGACCCCACACGACGTCTGCATTCGGATCCTGGCGGAGTCGTGCCTGATTGGCACGGGAGATTGCCTTCATGATGCGGCTCACAGCGGCCTGCCCCACGCCTTCAACGCGTACCGTTTTCTTCTGGTCAACTGCCTTAGCAAAGAGCACCATGATGAACCATGAATGCAACAATCTTAACACAGCGTCTGCTTTTTCCTAGCCAAGCAACTGTAGGGTTTACGGCGTTGGGCTTGCTGTGGTAAGGGTTCGTTCGACCTCTACTGACAACTAGAAATGTAAGCATTTGAATTGCCAGAAACGCTCGTATGTCTTTGTTCACTTTGTCTCAGTGTCCAAAGCAGAATACTTTGGTGGCACCGGCATGGCACTGTGTTGAAATCACAAAGAAGGTAAGGCTATCAGTGGTGCAAGTCCCTGGCATCTGGACGTTACGAATGTTCAGGTGTCCACAATGGTTCATGTTTACAGGTGCAGTAGCAGCACAAATGGTTCATGATGGAGTTTTCGCTTGCATTTGCGGGCCAGGCTCCCAAGATGTCCACCAAACAGCAGGAAATGCTCACACATACGGCTGGCCCGCAAACACGCACAACGAGCACGGCACTCCCATACATCCACGCACAGCCGAGGGAACTTTGCTTCTGTAGGCTTTGCGGGTTCTGATGTTGGAGTTTTTGCGCGCGCAGCACTTGTTTCTTTGCTTGGAATTCTACGATGAGGCCTGCCTACTGCCTTCCTTGTGCAAACGAACATGATTTCGAAACGTAAGACAATGCAGAACACCCTCCAAGCCGCAGAGGTGTATTTTCGTAACGTCGATGGTCATTTTTCTGGTACACCCCCCCCCCCTACCCTCTGGCCTCGTTTATGAACGTTTACATTCTCTTTGGGGGTACATGTAGAGCATAGCGTTCGACGCACTTATCCTATATAAATATATATGTATATATGCATATATACATTTCTTACTATGTAAGTAGATGGAGTCCATACGGACCCGATTCAATTTGAGTCGGGCCTCGGACGGAAGATCGAAGATTGAAGGCGCCCTCAAAATCTTCAATTTTCTCTCTTCAATCCCAGTAACGATTCAAATTGAATCGGCCGATTCAATCTGAATCGGTCCCTTAAACTTTAATGCAAATGATCTTAAGTTCTACAGGAATCTTCGGTCGCCAGTCTTCAATCCAAAGCCTTCCGAAAGATCTTCCGAATGGTTGTCTCGGTTTTTATGCCAGCTGCCTGGCTGCCTGACATAGTTGATCGAATGATGTGACGTCAATGCCCAACTGCCTGGCCCAACTAACCAAAGAGACAAAGGGTTGCTTCTAATCTCAGATATAAGGTCCCACCGGAGGGGTATAGGTTTTGAAACCAATTCTGGAAAGTTTTTGGTTGGGTTTGGAAATCGCAAGGGTTTCAGGACTTGTGGTCGGGGGCTTACGGTTTACATGGAACGACATGTTCTGATCCCACACACCTGCCGTACTGGGCGATGCATCTCACAGAACGCAATGTATCTCAATACACACGAAACAAGGAAAAGTCCACTAGAGTTTTTTCTACGACCTTGCTATTCTTTCCTAGCTCCCCCAACGCCCCCCCCCCGGCCCCACCCCCCGACGTCTGCTTTTTCCAGGATGAGAAATGGAACTTGATGGACCCCAACACAAAAGGGCAATCGCGGACCTTTGGTTCTACATGCTTCTCCTTCTTCTTTGCTGCCAAAAGATCACCCTGTGATTCGACGGCAACAAACATGCTCGTAACAGTGATCCGTGGATCTCCGAAGAGCGCGATCGGTCTTCCGATCGTGTTGCTGTCGTGTCAAAGAGGGGAAGAACGTACAAATGGGTTGGGAGACGTGGGAAGAGATTCTCCGATTGCTCAGACCGAATCTGAGCCAAAGTGGCACACGGATGACATGATCTAAACATGCATGTAAACCGCGCGCAGGTGAGTCAACGGTGCCTCTAGAGTTGTCATTACACACGAGCGTTTGCACGACAACAGTCGTTCCACCTACTGCAGTGAGACAGAGCACACATGCAGCTTCTGTTCTACCTGCTTCTTCTTCTTCTTCCTTCTTCTTCTTCTTCCTCCTTCTTCTTCTTTGGTGCCAAAAGATCACCCTGTGATTCGGCGGCAACAAACACGAAGGTTCGTCACGAACCGACTTCCGGTCACGCAGTGATCCGCGGAAGTCCGTCTTGCACGTCCAGGGCGACCACCGAGGGTCCTAGCAGGCTTCCTTTGACCGCGTCACCCAGGTGGAAGCATCAAGGGTACTGCATCAGGGGTCACAGGCTCGTGACTTGCGCCCAAGCGGATGAACCATGATCTTCAGACATCGTCCGGTGATCGCCTTGGAGGAAACTCTACACGTGTCCACTTGTTGATCCACCCCGCCCGCGGATATCTGCGAATCGGCTGATTGACTTGCGGTTGTCTCTTCTTCGGCATGATGAGGGTGCCGAGCTGGAGGTCGACCAAGTCGGGGAAAGGCCCTCTGTCTCGTCAAAGACGCTGCCAAACGAAGCAAATGCTTTGGAGAAGCCGATCTGCCAAAGATGTCCGGACCGAGTGTTCAACACACTGGTAATCGTCCCGTAAAGTGCGCCTCTGGTAGGCCGTGTAAAAGGTAGGTGGCGAATGTGGACCCAACGATGAAGTTCCTGCCCGCAACTTCTCTCGGACACTGTCCCCTCCAGAGATTCCGGCATGCTGTGACACGAAGTCGGGTTAGACATCCACGATGATCTCGGGTGGCCTGGTCATTTGTCAGCGATGGCGGCGTTGAAAAGGCTGTCCAAACTCGCAAAGTACCAGGATCGAGATTTTCCAAGCTGGTCCCGATGTATGAGGTGGTAAACGCATGCAAGCTATTCAACGGTGTCGCTGGAGTTGTCATTGCACACACGAGTGTGTTTCACAGCAACCTCTGCTGAAAAGATTGGAAAAAGCCTTTGCAATGCCTTCGGGGAAGACAGGCCTTCTTGTGGACTAGCTTCGTTGGCCCAGGTATCCACGATGAGATTGCATCGCTTGCTTACGGAATCTGCTGGTTGACGCGTAAGAGTCATGATCTGCGGGTGATAATCCACTTGCACGCAGGCACACACGCACATGGTTTGTAAGCCACTGCCCGTCATGAGCAGAACTTACTTAGCTCCGACACTACAGCTAAGAACAAAAAAATTGTGCTGAAACTTCTGCCAGGTGCTTTAGCGAGAATAGCACCCGCAAGTGCGCCTATTCTGCGGTCGCTCGCTGGTGCCAGGAGCACGTCGCTTGGCACACCCGGCAGGCCCACTGGGGCCACGTGCAAGCGCATGATGGCAACACCCTCGTCTGAGGTGCTAACATTAACTAGCATCTCCGGGCGAACGGCAAGTTCTCCATTCAGTCTGCCAGAGAGGGGCACGTGCCATTGTCGCAAAATCATAGCAATTTTCAGGGCGGTGAAAACATTGCCCCGTCCCACGCAATCGAGCTGTGCTTCGCCAAACCTTGAGAACCTCTTTTTGGCGGCTCTGCACAAGTCCAAAGGGACAGCGTCCTTCGCAATACTCAGAGAGGCATCTGTCCTCTCATACCTGGCATACGACCTATCTGCCGCAACCTCCACCTTGGCAACTTCAGCCTCCGCAACAGCATGGAGCTGCGTCATGCCAACCTTAGCATAAACATGTCTGGAAAGCACTCTAACTGGCCGCAACTTCATTTCTTCGTAGCTGGTACGTGCATGCGAAAAGTAGCAACGTGCGGCGCCACAACTGCAACAACTACATCCGCAGCTTGCCTGCAAATGACGGAGTTACCCAAGTAACTCACAAACATGAGTCCACCGCACTTCAAGACGTCATTTCCCTGTACCTTTCGCATTCAAGGAGCCTGCGCACGCTGGAGTGCTTGAACGAAGGTAAGTCCAGGTCTGCCTTCCAGTCTCAGCATCAAAGCACTTTTTCAAGCCCTTGATCGCTCAGGCAGCTGAGCCTGTCAGCCAGGTGGTAGCTGTAGCCAAAGCAAGAAGTAAGGCGAGGAAGACTCTTCCTTGGAACGGGTGGAGCACGGTGAAGCCAGTCTTGTCTAGTGTTGTGAGTCGTGCACAGCCTTCTGTCGGGATTAGGTTTGATGCGACAGGGCCTAGGCCTTTATTTCAGAGGGCATTTAATTCTGAACCTCTCTGCGGGTTAAAGCCACAAAAGGAATTCCAAACTGTTGCAGGTTGGAAGACGCAAAGAAAATCAAGTTCTGGCAGTAGATTTACATAGCCAAGTCTCGTGTAGGATTGATCTTTTCTCGCATGCTGGGCAAGTATACAGCTGCAAGTATCTGCGTCACTCTATCCTACCACTCTGTCCAATCTCGAGCCTGGCATGATCTGGCGACATGCCTCGAGAATATTTTGGGAGCAACGCGTTCTACTGCGGCATGTTGCAAAGTTTGCATTGCAAATCAAGCTCGTGGCGGCCGGGAGGGAGACTTCGATGGCTTGGACGGCTCTGGGACTCTAGGCCATGGCATGGGTCAAGCAGGTAGCAGGGAGAGCATGGCCCAACCTGCAGCAGCACCTCCTGCACCGCCTGCACCGCCTGCGCGCCTGTTCGCTGCCGCCTGGATACGGCCAGACCATTGGGAAATCACAAAGCATGTCGGCTTGCTCAAACCCATGGCGTCCAAGTGGCCAGGTTTGACCATACATGAATGATTCATGAATGCATCTCGCCCGTTGGCGCACACAATTTCTTCAGGGTGCCTGAGCCTCCCTCTCCTCAATCTCGCGCTCCTGGCTGGCATCAATGCTTGGCACGCGTAACAACATAACATCCACCAGGAGATGCAGGCATGCGGAGTGCTACTCCAACCGATAATGCTGATCCACCCGTTTATCAGCTAGACACCAACAACACCACCACAACAACGGCAACAATAGCAGCAACAGCAGCATCAGCCGACGCCACTGCCGCCGCCGCCCCTGCCGCCACCGCGAATGCGACCACCACGGCGACCACGACGACGACATACGAGATACGAGATACGAGATACGAGATACGCCATACGCCATACCACGGCGACAACGGCGACGACAACAACGACAGGCATCCCAACCAACCACAACCACAACAACCGGTAACCAACAGTGTGCAGACTAAGACAGGTGCAATGGCGGTTTACAGAACGGGTAGGTTACGTGGTCTGTGCACGCATGTCTGGTCGGAATGCAAACCAATCAGACCAAGCATGATCTGGGTTGGCTGGCGCGTTCTCGTCGTTTCTCTTCTGCCCGCTCGCGGCCTCGGCAAGCAATCTGGAAGCTCGTGGATCATCAGAAGCTTTCACTCTGCCCTTCAATTGGATTTCCTCCCCTTTCATCGGGCCCGGTGAACTGAACTCCGCGCGTTCTTCTTCATCTTTTCTGCGAGCTTCCTGACGAAAGCCAATATCAAGACACGCTCAAACTATGTATGGCCGTACCCTAAACGGACAGAATGGACAGCACTTTGCGAAGACTGATTGTCGCCCTGCTGTTTACCATGTCGGCATGAAGATGCCTAGCACCAATGTTCGTTGCAAACTCCGCCCCTTCCCTCCACGTCTGATACAGCGGCCACTATGACCGGGCTTCTTGGGCTTGTCATAGCTTGTCGTGGTTTCGCGGCTTTCTGCGCCTCTAGTCTGCTCCTTTTCATGTTACCCCGGTGCGAATGGCTTTGGAGCATCCTTGGCTTCCGGGTCTTTTGAGGGGCTCGAAGCCCTGTAAAGCAATCCAAGCCCCCGTACCCTAGCCCTAGACCTGTAGCCTGCGAGCCTGAACCCCGAACCTCAAACCCCAACGTGACAGAAGCAGGGAGGAGGGAGTCAGGACTTGAGGTCGCGAGAATCCAGAGTTTGGCCCTGTAAGTTTCCGGCCTTGACGGCTTTCGTCGAGTTTGGGTTTACAAGCATTTGCGATTTTGACAGCCTGTCCCCTAGATTTGTTGAGATAGCCCCGGGGTCGACATTAGCAACCCACTTGAGACACCCACTCGATCGCTCTTTCCTTGCTCTTAACGGCGAGCCGGGGCTGCATCCTGGAAGTCGGAAGCCTTTGGAGGCCTTTTTTTGTGGGTCCTGGATGTTTTCGGTTTGGACCGACAAGAAGACCCTGCTCTGGAAGGTCTTGGAGCTTTATGGTGTGGGGGAAGGCATGCGTGAGCCAACGGGGTCTGGGATGGGTTCTGAAGAACCTTAACAAGAAAAAGTTTAATGGGAGAAGAAGCGACGAGACTAAAAAAAAGGAAAGCAGGGAAACAGTGAAAGAAACGAACCTGCGCTGAAATAACATTTGTCACGCTTCTGTGAAAAAACAGCACGGCGAAGAGCGCGATCGGAAAGAGCGCACGGGTACTGCTGCTGCTGCTACTACTCCCTGCTGCTCCCTGCTGCTCCCTGCTGCTCCCTCCTCCTGCTCCCCTGCTCCTCCTCCCTCCCTCCTCCCTGCTCCTCTCCCTCCCTGCTCTCCTCCCTCCCTGCTCCCTCCTCCTCTCCTGCTCCTCCTCCTGCTCCCTCCTCCCTGCTCCCTACTCTCCTCCCTCCCCCTGCTCCTCCTCCCTCCTCCTCCTCCCTGCTCCCTGCTCCCTGCCCCTCCCTGCTGCTCCCTGCTCCCTGCTCCCTGCTCCCTGCTCCCTGCTCCCTGCTCCCTGCTCCCTGCTCCCTGCTCCCTGCTCCCTGCTCCCTGCTACTCCTGCTGTACTACTACTACTACTACTACTACTACTACTACTACTACTACTACTACTACTACTACTACTACTACTACTACTACTACTACTACTACTACTACTACTACTACTACGACGACGACGACGACTACTACTACTACTACTACTACTACTACTACTACTACTACTACTACTACTACTACTACTACGACGCCCCAACCGGGTGGTTTGCCCACACACAGTGGTCAAGCATGGGTTTGGACAAGCATGCTTGAATCAGCTCTTGCCGCAGCATGTCAGCATGAACCATGTGGCACCCAACAGCCCAAAGCCTAAACCTTAAACTCCAGAAGTTCTTGGTCCTATTTTATAGCTCAGGATTTCGCAGACGACTCGTCTTGTGGCCACTACACTACTGACGCAGTCCAGTGCTTGTTGGGTCGCGCGGCCACAGGTCCGCGGTCTGCAGAGACGGACACGGCCCTGGCATACGGGAAGCGGGGCGCAGACGCTGGGCAGCTCGCTGAGGAGGCTTTCTTTCTGCCTCCGAAGCAGGTGGCCAGCGTCTGCGCCCCGCTTCCCGTATGCCAGGGCCGTGTCCGCCTCTGCAGACTGCGGACCTGTGGCCGCGCGACCCAACAAGCACGGGACTGCGTCAGTAGTGTAGTGGCCACAAGACGAGTCGTCTGCGAAATCCTGAGCTATGAAATAGGACCAAGAACTTCTGGAGTTTAAGGTTTAGGCTTTGGCTGTTCGTTGCCCACAAGCAGAAGACGCGGGCAAACCGTAAACTGTCTTACGCCTCAACCCTGAACCCACGCCCGAAAGCAGTGTTATTTCCTTGAAGCCCAGGACGACAAAACACCGAAGCCCTCGTGCTGGACTCGTGCCTGAAACACTCCAAAGCCCACACCGTAAGACGCGCGCGCGGGCAAACCATAGGGTTCTGCGAAGTCCGGAACGCAGGGAAACCCGCAGAGGGTCGTCGTTTATGAAGAAAAAAACGAAAAAAAGATAACTGTTGAAAGGCCGGCAAAGGCCAGAAACGCTGCGCCTGCGCATGTTTTATGTACCTTCCAAAAACAAGCGCGGGCAAACCATAGGGTTGCACCGTAGTACTAGTAGCAGTATTATTAGTCGTCGTCGTCGTCGTCGTCGTCGTCGTCGTCGTCGTGGTGGTCGTGGTCGTCGTCGTCGTCGTCGTCGTCGTCGTCGTCGTCGTCGTCGTAGTAGTAGTAGTAGTAGTAGTAGTAGTAGTAGTAGTAGTAGTAGTAGTAGTAGTAGTAGTAGTAGTAGTAGTAGTAGTAGTAGTAGTAGTAGTAGTAGTAGTAGTAGTAGTAGTAGTAGTAGTAGTAGTAGTAGTAGTAGTAGTAGTAGTAGTAGTAGTACTACCACCCGGTTGGGGCGTAGTACTACTACCACCACCACAGCAACAGCTACAGCTGTAGCTACAGCTACAGCCACAGCTACAGCTACATCTACAGCTACAGCTACAGCTACAACTACTGTGTGACTACGACGACCACGACTCCGACGAAGCCACTGCTACCATACCTGCAGCTACTACCGCTACTCCTACCACGAGCAAGTAGCCCCCCGCCCTCCACTATCAAACTAGAAGAGGGATGGCCCGAAAGCATCGGTTTGCCGTGCGTTGACTCCATGCACTTGACTCTTTGCACTCGAACTGTATGCACTTGGACAAGTGTATGCACTTATATGGTTGCATATTCACTTGTATACTGCACCTGTATACTGCACGTGCTATGCAGTAGAACGATATTCCGGATTTCGAGTCCCACGATATTTGCGAGGTTTTCGAGGCCGCGGAATTCGAGTCCCACATATTTGCGAGGGTTTCGACATCCCGGAATTTGAGTCCCGCGACGCTGTCGACGACCCGGAATTCGAGTCCCACGATATTTGCGAGGGTTTCGGCATCCCGGAACTCGAGCCCCACGATATTTGCCAGGTTTGCGAGGCCCCGGAATTCGAGTCCCACGATATTTGCGAGGGTTTCGAAATCCGAGTCCCACGATATTTGCGAGGTTTTCGAGGCCCGGAATTCGAGTCCCACGATATTTGCGAGGGTTTCGATACTCCGGAATTCGATCGAGTCCCACGATATTCGCGAGGGATTCGAAAACCCGGAATTCAAGTCCCACGATATTTGCGAGGGTTTCGACATCCCGGAACGATGTTTTTCGAGGCCCCGGAATTCGAGTCCCACGATATTTGCGGGGGTTTCGACGCCCCGGAATTCGGGTCCCACGATATTTGCGAGGTTTTCGAGTCAGTCCCACGATATTTGCAAGGGTTTCGATATCGCGGAATTCGAGTCCCATGATATTTGCTCGGGTTTCGATATCTCGGAATTCGAGTCCCACGATATTTCCACGTTAGCTCCGGGTGTCCCCGGCGTACTACATCTGTACTACAAAAGTCGACTTTCCAGCCTCGGAAGCTCCGGGTCTCCGGGTGTCCCCAGCGAGCTACGTCTGTACTACAAAAGTCGACTTTCCAGCCACGGAAGCCACGGAAGTCCCCGGCATGCTGCGTCTGTACGATAAAAGTCCAGCCACGGTCGGAGTACTACAGAGGAGGATTTTGAGAGCCCAAAAGAGCGCACCGGCCCTAGACAGTACTACTTTTGTACTACAAAGGACGGTTTCGGTCACAAACAAAAAACACAAAAACACGACGGTTTTGGCACCGCGACCACGCGTAAACCCGCAGAGGGGTTGCATTTGTGTGTCAAAAAACGCAAAAACACGACGGTTTTGGCACCGCGACCACGCCCAAACCCGCAGAGGGTTGACCCGCGCCCGCAAAAAAGTGCAAAACGACGGTTTTAGCACCACGACCACGCCGAAACCCGCAGAGGGTTGTCCGCGCACAGAAAAAACCGTCAAAAAACGACGGTTTTAGCGCCGCGACCATGCCGAAACCCGCAGAGGGTTGTCCGCGCAAATCCAGAAACGTAAAAGCGACGGTTTTAGCACCGCGACCATGCCGAAACCCGCAGAGGGTTGTCCGCGGCCAGCCAGAAACGGAAAAAACGATGGTTTTTGCACCGCGACCACGCCGAAACCCGCAGAGGGTTGTCCGCGGCGCGAAAGACACGTAAAAAAACAGCGGTTTTAGCTCCGCGACCACGCCGAAACCCGCAGAGGGTTGCAATCCCGATTGACGACGTCAACCCAGCCCGCCGCCTTAAAAAGAGTAATTTTAATTAAGAAATGTAGGACTGGGTACGAAGGTCTACTAAATTCTACAAAAATCTCGTAAATTCTATGAAATAGTACTAAAATTGTACTAAAATCTCGTAAATTCCACTCTGTTGTACTAAGGTCTCGTGAATTCTAACTCTATGCACTTCACTCTATGTACTTAACTCTATGCACTTGACTCTATGCACTTCACTCTGTGTACTTAACTCTATGTTGTTGGGTCAGAGGGCTCCGCACGGAAGAACCCTTCGCGATGCTTTCGGGAAAAAAAGTTTGGCGCGCCAAGCCAGAAATTTTCCAGGGTTCCGTGCTAGGGGGCGGACACGCGTATAGCACAGCTAAGCGGCGTTGGCCACACAAAAAGGGAAAAGAAGATCGAAGAAAACCCCAAAACAATTCCAACAGCCTCGGCGGCCCGCTTCTCCTCGCGCTCTTGCTTCAGGCGCTCCTGTCCTCAGCCCCAAGCTAAAAACATGCAAAACCCAGGCCCAACACTTTCTGGTGCCGATCTTTGACGATCACTTTCAGAATAGTATGGGCTTTTCAAGATGGTCCCAGCGAAGGCAGCTTGACATCCGGACATGCACTATCATGCAGTGAGTTCATGCACAACGCACTTCTTTTGGCTTCGATCGCGATTGGCCTTTGCGGTGAAGCATCTGGCTGAGGGTCGGTGCTCCAGGCGCTGTCTTCCGAGCGGTTGCGATTCATGTTCCAGTTGTTCCCAAAGCTGAGAAGCCGCCGGGCATTGCCCTGGGCCCCCGCTATGGGCACCCTCCCCACCCAGCCTCACGTATGGTTAGAGACCTCTTTCCGCTGCTTTGGTCATGGTGTCCTTGTGCTTGGAGATCTATGGAGCACTCCAGAATGCTGTCACCAACTCCCTCGGGCCGTGTCATCCGAGTCCAATAACGTCGCGCAGCTCCCGTCCGGAGTCGTGCCTGTTGTTGGCATTGTAAAGTAGGTCCTCAGACTATTTTGCTGAGCATAGAGGGCCTGTCAAAACTCCATGTCCCATCCGCCTGACGACCAGGCCGACTTCACAATGTTTGCACGGTCGACTGTTTAAGAGGATGTCGGGGACACTGCAGCCCTACAAGTACTGTTGGGCTGGTTGTCGCACAAATTCCAGTGCCTCCTGCAAGCTCAGCATCAGTTGAAGCGGCCTGTCGCAAACCACCCACAGAAAGCCACACAAACATGGAGCAGATCAACATGCTGTTGTTGAAGCTACGCATTGTGCGCCTCCTGTTCAGGGGTCTTCTCCTTCCACTTGCGGCGGGACTCCTTCTCTTTGGAGAAGAGCTCCTTTTGGCGCAGAGCACAACCTAGAGATGGCTGGAGTCTAGAGGTCATTGGAGCACATTTGCAACGCCATGTCTCTTGGTGCTGGCACAACTCTCAACCCGAATTTCCTGAAGCTTTGCTGCTTCAGACTTGGCGAAGTCGAGCGAGTCACATACAAGGATGTTGTCGAAAATCGACCCCTCGTGAACTGTCCTCATCGGTGTGGCATGCATATCAAGTGCCAATTGGCGCTTTGGGCTGCACAGCTCTGGCCAATGCACTTCAATACGGAATATATAACACATAAGAAACAAAATTGAAGATCTATAGCAGAAGATATATACTGCAATGATATATAAGTTTTATATAAGTGAAATGCTTAGTATGTGTGGCGTGTGTGCAACCTGCCCACCCCGCACTTCCACCTCCCCGCCCGGCTGGCTTTCTTGTTTTTACCACTCACATCTGGGGCACCTGGTCTATACATGAATCTGCGTGTTACTCCAGGATCCTCAAAAGGGACTGATTGCTCGAAGGGGTTGCCGCGGGCCGAAGAATGACGTAGTTGATGATGTTTCATGATAGTGTTGATTGGAATGAACTCGCAATTTCATTTGGTTCTCCCCAATTCCATAATTTACATATTCTGACTTCGTTTTAGTGAATATAGTATACAGATACAACTGTGGGTCCAAAGGTGAAAGACGCGTGGAACTAATTAAAGGTGATTCACAAGGTTGCTCACCCTGATGACTTTTGACTAGTCACTTGAATGCATTTAAGGACTAATCCTGTGACAAGATGGCGATTGGCCGTTAGAAGAAGGAGGCTGCTCAGCCCCTCTTATTCTCAACCTTCGGCTCTCTTACTCTCTCGCTCTGCTTTCACTCTCGCGCAAACGCTCTCTCTTATCTCCCTTTCTCTTTCTTTTATGTTCCATTGTCTCATTTCCTCCCCTTCCGCCCCTCTTGACATGAGCAAACAAAGGGACTTCCTCCGTCTCCGAGGCTCTCGACTACTCTTCTCTTCTCTACTTCTTATGACACGTCTCCGCTGAAAATGTGACATTGTCGCCCCTTGTACGAGATCCTTACGAACAAGCTCAAAACCACAATGGCGGCGTGACCCAGCGAAATGACATATCATCATAACCTGCATACAATGCATCACGCCTCTTGCTGTGCTCAGGGGGGGAAACAAGAAGAGTGTTTTAGTGGCTTGATAGTAGATACATAAAGGTCCTTGCCACACTCTCTCTCTCTCTATATATATGCACATATTCTCTTATGTCATGTCATGTACACACAAAAATGTGAGCAGACTAAGCAGATGGGGATGAAGGCTGTTGGGGCCTTGGTGTTGGCACCCTTCTGGTGTGGGCAAGATATGTCGTCTGAGAAAGAACAATTCTCTTTTCGCTGAACTCCAAGCTTCCAAAGGTCAAAGCCAACTGCACCCAGGTCTGTGTAGGAGTACAGCTCCTCCTCCTTAGCCAAGTGTCAGGTCAACATCCCTCACAGATCGGATCTGGGACTGATCTTCGTGTAGGACTGGGACTGCACGTGCTTTTTTCTTGGTAGCAACACGTAGAGTCTCTTTCCATACATCGCGGCATTGTCACTTGGCCCGCCCGGCGCCCCCTCCCCTGTGTGCATTATGTGCATTGCGTTTCCCCTCTCGACCTGTGTCCGTGTAGCCCGAAAACTGGAAAGAAGCAATGCTTGCTGGAAAAAACATTCCAGAGGGAAAGAGAATGGACCACAGGGTCTATAGATGTCCATAGTATTGTAGGGCTTCAAATGGGTGTTAATGACTTCTAGAGTCAAGCCCCGTGCGGCTTCGGGCTATGCAACCTTGACTCGTACTCCGGATTTCCACGCTGCCGAGGCCTCGCAATGCTGCAGGGATTGACCCTTTGCACGAAACAGGGTGTGCCGGACACTCGCAAGAACGATTTGCCTAGTTTGCGGGCCTGCATAGATAGTTGGTGTTGTGTTGCTTTCGGGGTGTGCTCAACACATCTCAAGACTCGATGGCCCTTCTGCTGACCTCTATGGCTCGGCCTCCAGCGACCACGAAATTCAGGATTATCTACCTTAGATGCAAGGAATGCTGGGGCATTTAGCGCGGGGGGATTTCGCAGAAAGGAATTCGTTCAAAAGCATCTCTGTGGGTTTTTCAAATGCTAGCAGCACAAATACAGTGTAACTCCAGTCACTATGCTGCCGGGTCACCAAAGTCGGAAACCAGGGACCCTGGTAAAGCGGGTTGTCGACCAGGGGCGGTTCAAAAAGGCCATCCTGTAGTCGATTTGCGCTGCGCAACGCGCAAAGCACAGCATGCAACCTTTTCACATCGTTTCACGTCGTTTCACGTCGTTTCGCTGCGTTTCACGTCGTTTCACATGGGTACAGCACAGCTACTTCGAGGTGATCTTCGACTCCCGACCAAAATCGGCAGTTGTGACCTTAATTCGCGTTAGCCCATCTACTGCCATCCAGTGGACCTCAATCACTTCATGCACTTGGCTACCGTCCTCTTCATCATCCCATTCTGGTGGTTTCCAGACAGTGCTGTCTGGAACGCGCTGCACGTCGACCCATGCTTCTGGTTTCTGCGATTCCTCAGCAGTCGACAGTTTTGCATTTGCCCGTGGCACTTCAGGGCGAACACTGCCGCTAAAGCTCTGGATCCGCCATGCGACGCGACTCAACCCAGTCATCTGGCTTTCGGTCCGTCGGGTCGTCCACTGTCTTGCTTGGAAATGGCCAAAACTCGTGCAAGTCACCAGATGACTTTTCTTTCATATCAATGTAGACCGTGTACGTGTTATCCGGCTTCAGCAGCAATGTGAAGATGTGCGTGAATGAGTCCCTGTCATCGTACTCCAAGGGAATCTGGGGAGACCGATGCAGCGTCCTCCCTTTCCAATTGAAGATGAGATGCACCACGGACGTCTCAAAGCCGCAGATGTCGGGACCAAACCTGCTTCGCATCACTACGCTCCCTCGTTGCAACTTCGCAGGTTTTGCAAAGAAGACACGGTGAACTCGGCATTCCCAAGAAATCCAAGAGACATAATTCTGAAAGGTGTGTCGGGGCCAAATGACTGCTGGTGGACGTCGCTTCCCATCAACTTGATGTATCCGCCTCCACAGAAGTTTAGGAAATTCTCTTCCTCGCTCCTCAGCTGCTCAGGCCTCTGGTCCTTGCATTATCCTGTTTTCTCTCATATTGTCCGGTATACTTCCTTCAGAGAGCAGACTGAGCATCTCGTGCTTGACCGTGAACTGCAGCACCAGATCACGGCCTCACGGACCCGGAGGATCCCTACATATCCCTACACTGAACGCGCTGAACGCCCATGATGCCCCAACATCCAAATTTTCCTAACCTTTAATGAAGTGGAAAGCCAAGGTTTGCCCCCCTTTTCGAGATGCGACACACGTGTGCAGGACTCAGCAAAATTTATTTTACTTCGAACATCCCCACCCTCTCTTATACTCTGGGGTTGGGCACTCCAGGAAAACTCTGGGGCTGGGCACTCCGGGGGTTGGGCACTCCTGGGAGACTTTGGGGTTGGGCACTCCAGCGAGACTCTGCGGTTGGGCACTCTGGAGACACTCTGGGGTTGGGCACTCCAGGGAGACTCTGGGGTTGGGCATTCGAGACTCTGGGGTTGGGCACTCCAAGAACACTCTAGAGTTGGGCACTCCAGGGACACTTTGGGTTGGGCACTCCAGGGATGAGCGAGGAGTAGACTGGGCGAGGAGAAGAGTTCCGGGTGAGGAAAAGTGTTCCGGGCGAGGAGAAGAGTTGAGTTTAAAATCTAACAACCCCACACCGAGGGTGGGGAACAAGTCGCGACATGGTCCCTGAAGTAACGAAAACTGCTCAAAATTTCTGGACATCTTTGGACTATGCTGGACTGTCTCAAGTGCTGAAGGTGTTTATGTAAAGGCTGCCCTGAGACCTCGGTTGGTGAAGTTCTGCCACAGCATGGCAGAGATGGCATGATGACGGAGGGCCGCAGCGGTCCTCAATCCTCCAGGCAGCCCCTTGATCTAGGACATGGACGAAACAAGGAAACCTCGGATAACTTGCCCAAGCAATTGAACACCTCGTTGCTCCGACTCGTTGACAAACCACCGCCCAGCCGACCACTCGAATGGCGCTACGCCTGTGCACAAGAAGCACTTACCTGCATGCACTGACGAGAGCTTTGTCTTGCCCTTGGCCTTTCAGTTCAGAAGGGACCCACCACGACTGCCAGGTTTCGTTTAAGAACTTCTCATGGAAGTAGACCTCCAGGGCCGAGTGCTGCGTGCTACTGTGTGATACGGTGTGATACTTCAACGCTGCATGGCATGGCTGAAGCATGTGGAACGGACAAAATATTCCACCCAAGAAGAACGTTTTAGAATGCCCTGCCCGGACCCTTGGCGCTGGTTTGCACAAGCAGGCATCTACAAGAAGCAGCCCCAGCAGCACTTGGCGTGGCGCCATGGCTATGCCACAACAATGTGATGATCACAAGCCACAAGCTTGTCATGAACAACAGCGTGTGATACCAATGTTTTGGCTGTGCCTGGTGTCACTTTTTGTTGCCGAGGAGATCCGCTTGTTCGGTGCAAAAACCCAAGCCAAAAACAAACTGAAACTTGCTTTGAAATACTCCTCAAGTACTTCAGCCAAATCCTTCAGCTCCATCACAAGCAAGCATTGCTGTGGCGGGGGTAGCGAGATCAAACATTCTAACATTCCTCTTTGGTCCAGATTCCAGATGCGGCGTAAGAAGGCCCCGGCGCTCTGCCTCTTCCTGCTCCTCGATCTCCTGCCGGCGACCTTGGCTCCGAGACCCTAGGCCCGGAGGCAGTCGGCGGCATTTGCATTCGCCCAAACAAAAGCAAGCAATTAGAGCTGTAGACTCTGTAGACGAATCGAGCCGTAACGGTCGAGGGCCCACACGTCGCTCCTCTTCTTGCTGGCGGCGCTTCTCCTTCTCTTTGGCATCATTCTCCTCCTCCGCGACACACCACGACAATTAGCAAGAACTGACGCTGCTGGGACCCACATGCAGCAAAATCTCTGACTGCAGCTCTTTCTTCTCCAATGTGCTTCACACTCACACGCGCGATCGAGGCGGTGGTCAGCAGGGCTGCACTTGCCGTTGCCGTGGCATCGTCACGATATGTCACGATGCTTGGAACCATGCTTCTCAATTATATAATACAGCAGCCGTGAGCCCACAGCTGCTGGCCTTTTTATGGAAACTTCGCCGAGCATCTTGGGCTTGAGCCATCACCGAGCTGAGCTTCGGAAACAGCGAAGCATTCGGCCAATCGCCTACAAACATGATCATCAGCTACAAGGAAACTTACTTCTCCATCATTGAGAAAGACGTGCAGATGCTGTGTCTATTTGGAGGCTGCATCGTGCACGGATTTGGCATCCACCACCAAGGTGCCGGGGATCTTAGAAGCAACTCCTGCTCGGCCTCCGAAGGAACCTGAATCTCTGCATATCTCTGCAGACAGGCTGCTCTTGCCACACCCTGGGCAACCGGAGATCTCTTGCCATGGAGAAAACCTTGGCCATTCCGATGGCATACCCCGCAGTTTCCATCCACCACGACTGTCCCGGCTGTGGGGACTCAATCTTCCAACGGTTTCAAGATTCTGCACGGAGATGGAAGCGCCGACTGCAGCAAGCGCAGCTCCGCGGCGTGCTGAGGAGCCGTTTGCTGAACGATAGGTTGTCATCTGGTACAATGCGAATTGGTGGCTCCGCCTGGGCATTATGGGAGCCCACGTTGGCAGAAGTCTGGGCTCAAGCCCAGATAGCCCAGCAAGACTGTGACTATGCTTGCCCGGCAGGTTTTTTGTGGCTTGTTGTCGAAGCACTTCAGCATCCATACCCTCTTCATCTGCATGAGCCACCCGGTGAATTTCTGCAGTATCTTTCACAGACCATCTGCTTGAACCTACGTTTGGATCTTGCTTCGGCCATCGCCGCCTTGCGTCGGAAACGTCCTTGCATGTCGTTGCAACTTCCCCGTTTGACTCGCAATCACCACCTCGCGGGGACCAGGCGGCTCATGACCCACGAACCTTTGGATCTGGACAGAAAACTGCCGAAGGACCTCTGCATGTTGCTGTGGTGCCGCCATGGTGTGTCTCTTCTAGCCTACTCCGCTATCAGGCCCCCCCCCCCCCCCTCTACCAGTCTCAGAGCGAAAATGGCTGCACGAAAGATCAGAGCCACGGTGCCTTGCTCGTTCGTTCCTTCACGATCAAAGACACATAGCTTCAGGTGCCCTGATAGCTCGCACACTATCCGTACTTCAGGGTCACTATTGGCCGAAGGGGACCCTTGAGTCCTAGAGCAAGGCAGAAAGCGGTTGCAAGTGCTCCGTGCTTCCGCTAGGTAGTCCGTCTCCAAAGGAAGGAAAGGAAAAGCGATTGCGAGCCCGTTTGCGACAAGATCTGTTAGCCTGCCATAATCTGCAATCTGTATCCTTGACATGTTGGTCCCGGCGCTGCATGGCGCGGGCAATCTTGTTCTGCACGACCTTGGCATGTGTCACCGGAACGCAGTCTATGACCTGACACGGAACACTACACACATCACGTAGTCTTGCATAGTTCATGAGCGCCAAATGCTTCTTACTGCTCCTTCCTTTGCAGACTGAACTGGAGGGGCCTTCTTCGTCAGTCTGTGGATCTGCGCCTCGCGCATGTCTTCCCAATCTGCACCTACAGCGAATCATGAGTTGGCTCCAGCCACTCCAGCAGGCTCCCGCTCCGAGTGTGCGTGGGAAGCAACTGCAAAAACTGGCGAAGATAGCATCACTTTCTTAATCCCTGACCCTGGACACATTGCAACCTGCCTTGAGTACCTAGGTATTCAACTATTAAGTTAACAAGTAGAATGCAATGCTGTGAAGAGACGTCTTGGTTCCAGCTGCTGTTCGGCCCAGCTGTCCTGCGGCGGATTGCTTCTCTTACGAGATGGCGCCAGTTGGGACTCTGCAATTCCATAACTTTCAAGTCCTGCCTTTTGGCCCTAATTCCAGCTAAGCTCGAAGGATTTCGCATTCGTGGTAACTGGCATGTTGCCTGTTGCAGCCCCGTAGCATCACAGCAGCGCAGTGTGATATAGCGTGATGCACCCACAGCGTCTGTTCTACTGAACACCATTGCTTCTGCTGCCAGAACCCACTGCAAATGTGCAACGTGTTTGCGCTGACTATGGCGATCACGACCATTGACGTGCAGCGCCTGTGAACTGCAAAGCCTGAACTGAGCATCTGATTCGGTTTGCCCTCTGCTGTGCTTTGAGCAGTGCGTTCCGCAGTCCTTCACATGCTGGAACGGCAGTAGCTCTTGCTTTTCTTTCAGCCTGAGGTTGCGCGGAGGCGCAAATGTGTACAATGTGTGCATGTGTGTACCGGTCCTATCTGAGATCCTGGGTGCTAACGGCGGCCAATGTGCAACTGCCAGAACTTAGGGATATCAGGGAGCAGGAGCCTTACGCTTCTCTGAGATTCCTTACCATACTCGACTCGCCTGAACCACATTGAACTGACCTGCACCGAAGCGGGCGAAACCTATTCCATCAGGGGCTCTGGCAAGTTCTCATGCTGTTTGCGCTGCTCCTCCTGCTTTGCGCTTTCGAACTTCTCCAACCTCTCAAAGCACATCAAGGTAGCTCCTGTCAACATGTTTTCGCACTAAGGCCTCACATGTCCCCAAAACTTTCTGACGCTATGACGTGGAACTTGTTGTGCAGAAAGAACGCAGCCCGCTGCCCGAAAACTGCTAATGTGGCAACAACATCTTGTCAGAGGCTTCACGCACCAAGGCAGCTCTCAGATGCGGGCTGCTCAGCATCGACCTTCTCGACGTCCACAGACCACTGCTTCAGCAACGAACTCTCCTTTGCCAGGATGCTGCAGAACAAGGGCGGAGAAACCTCTGCGCATAGGTCAAAGCCAAAACCAACGAGAGCCTGGAGAACAAGTTGTGGACCATGAAGACAAAACAACGAAGTTCCACATCCACGCAGTTGAGCTTACAATGCTTACAGTACCATGCAGTTCCCACAGTCTGCTGTGCAAGTCTTGTGGCCTCTAGCTGTGCTCTCCGTCCAAACAGGCGAAGAACAAACTTCCCGAGCCTCCTCGCGCAAGGCACGGGCTAGGTGATCCACACCTCACAGGGAGCCGGTGGCTGGACTTTTGCCAAATGTTGTCGTGACTATCAAGCACTGCTGCTTTCTGCACCTGGCAGCTTGCACATCTCTGAGCATGAACAGCTCCCTGGGGGGCCCACGTTTGCTCTCGGCTTTGCGCTGGCGGATCTTGTCCTTGCAGGCGACAAGCAACGCGGCCCCGCAGCCGCTTAACCTCAACCTCTTTACGACCGCTTAGCAAGGCAGCAGCACGGGACATGCAGGGTACCCAAATACATGTGAGCGACTGCCAAAACGGCTGGCGGCGCTAACGGACGCGGCATGAGGGGTGTCGCTTTTCAAGTGTTCCCATTGCTTTACAGGGTTTTCGCATCAGCTATCCACGCTTGATGTCTGAAAGTGTCGCTTTGGGAAAACTCAAGGTTACAGCCCACCACAACGTTCAATTAACTTAGGGGTGTCGCCTTTCAGGTGTTCCCATCGCTGTACAGGAGGGTTTTGGGCATTCAATTCGGGCATTCGTGTCCACCCCTTCCTTTATTGAATAGCTGGAGGTTTGGGCGCTTGCTCATGTCAGGCTGAGTAGGACTGAGCATGACTGAACCATTGCATGTTGGCTCAGAGTAGGTCCTGGCGCTCCTTTAGCACCTGGGCCTCACGGGCCTTCTCGATCTGGTCGAAACCTACGGCCCAAGAAGACTAGCAAAAGACACACAAAGCTGAAGAGATTTTAGATTCAAACATGAATGTTTGAATGTTCATCACGCGCTCTGAGCCACTGCCAGTAGGTCAGTTAAAATATCAATTCCAACTGCGGCTGGATCTGCCGAGCACTGCCGAGCACTTGGCTGATGTTGGTGAGGTCATCAGCCTCAATCCTGAGCTTGGCACTTCAAGAGGCTACAGGCCTGCAACTCGGCTTGCTACAAATCTCAGTCCCACTTGCAGCATCATTGCCATCTTGCCCAAGGCATCCACTCCGTGATCTTCTTGCCAGCGACCTGCGTTCATTGCCCGCGTTGTATGTCATGACAGCATAGCCAGGCTACTAGAGCGATAGTATGTGTGCGGCGATCTTCTCTTTTGGCTCAACTTGGTGGGGGCGGCTGAACCCTTCTTCGCCCTTGCTCTTTGCTCCCTGTGAAGACTGTGTTGGACTCGCAAGTGTCGTTCCAAGCTTGCCCCTTCTTGCAGGTAGGGCCTAGCAGATACGTGGTGCTGTCCTGCTACACTTCTCTTCATTCTTTTTTGTGATGAAGAGATGTACATGGGCGTACGATTGTGTGGGGCTGTTCCCCCCTCCCAGTGATACGTGCTTTGAAGTTCGGGCATCCTTGAATTTGAGACCCCTGCTTGTTTTCTTTCTCTCTATCTCTCTCATTTTGTTCGTTCTTGCGCTCTTCCTCTATCTTTTGCTTGCTCTCTCCCCCTTCTACGTTCAGCACAAGAACTGCCAAGCGGCCTGAGACGCTGAATCAACAAGCAATGAGACAAGAAATGGCTTATGCAGCTTATGCAGTACGCACATACTGGATCACAGCTCAAACAAGTTCAGCAGCCCTTCCAAGCTGGACTCTGCAAACAAGGCCTTGAGATTTGTGGCCTTTTGCTCGGCTTGCTTTTTCATCTGCTCCAGCCTGGGATGATTGCTCAAATCCAAGCAAGTGTGATCTTGATGCTACTGGGCCATAGCCAAGAACCTGAGAGCCCTGGCATTTCCATGTTCTTCTGCAGCTCAGCCTCCTTCTTGCGCTGCTCCTGGCAATCGCGATTGGAAGCCAGAGCCAAGAAGAAACCTCAGGCCGTTGCCTGGCTGCAGTCTGCAATCTGGACACCAATTTCAAACAGCAACAGTGTCGACAGGGCTGATCAAAGATCCACTGCGAGTCCTGTTTCTCGACCTCGCGGCGTTTGCGCTCCTCCTCCTGCCTGAGTTGCCAAGCAGATGAATGGGGCGGTGCTGTTTTCGCAGTTGGTATACTGCATGATCAATCATGATGTCTCACACGTTTACAACCATTGACATCGCATTCCGAAGAAAGTTCGAGTTTGTAATCGCAAATCACAGGCATAATTACGGTTTTGTGGGCGCTCGGCGAATCTTGCATTACTGGCACAAGGGAGCCAAGGATGGGTGCGTTGATGAGCAGTGCAGGATACACTCGGGCCAGTGAAGGCCGTCTGTCACATTTCGGGATTGACATGATGCAGGGGGCTTACTTCCAAAACTGAGTAAGCTAAGTCGTTTAGGGCAGAGAAACCAAAACCGAAACCAAGTGTAGCTATTGATCATTGATAATTAAGGCAAGCCAAATCGACGTAAAATCCCAAAACAATGCCGCTCCCTGAAGTTCCCTGGCTTCCTGTCACTGAGAATTGGAGCTTCGCAGGCCTGCGGCGCTCTTTCTCGGCCTCCAAAGCTTCTTCCTTGCGCTGCCTCTCCATGGCCTCACGCATGTGGCTTCCGGCCTTTTGGCGTAGAACTATGTAGATCTGCTAGTGGCTGATGGTTGATCGTGGTTGACGTTAGTTGGTGCTCGTTGTATTCCAAGGACTCGGCAAGAGGATGCGGAAACATGATCGTTGTCGTGGCGCTGAAGGGGGGGCAAGGGGGGCGGGGGGGGGGTGGGGAAAGGGGGCGGCAGGGGGGGGGGGTCAAGGGGGCGGCAAGGCGGGGGGCAAGAGGGGCAAGGGCGGCAAGGGGGGGGGGGGGGGGGGGGGGGGGGGGGAAGGGGGGCAGAGCACTGGACAAGTCGAAAACAATACAAAACGATAAAATATCAACGAACAAAGCAAACGAACAAGAAAAACAAAACACAGACAAGCAAACAACAAACACGAAAACCAAAACACAAACAAAACAATACAACACTGTAAAACAAGAAGACAAGTCCTGGCTTTTTGATAGAACGAACACATGCGCCTGTGGCACAAGGAAATCGAACACACACGAACGTGCAAAAACGAAAAACAACACCAGAACAAAACGTTTCTTGTGATTGGCACGGTGCCTTCGCTAAGCCGACGCACACACACAAAAGGTTTCCGGCTTCCGCGGGGCGGGGGGCTGCCTCTCTCTCCAAGATCTGCTTGCGACGCTCACCTCAGCTGGCAGTCCCAAGCTGACGAGTCTTCCGTTGTGTTCGGCACCATCTGCTGTCACTAGATGCACAGCGGCTGCAATATGACAGTTCATACTTAACTATCAACGCCGGCGTGCATAACCTGTACAGAGGTCAGGTCACTGACAAAACCTCAAACACAATGACTTGGGTTTTGGACTCTCTTCCTTTCGCCTCTCGATCTCTTCCTTGCGCTGTCGGATGGATCGTGTCTCCTGCAAGGTGCTGCTATCACAATGGTGTGCGATGCAGCTTGCGAGTTGTCCTGCTCCATCCTTTCCTTGATGTTCGTGAGAAGATGCCTTGAACGGAGCAATCCAAAAAAGAACATGACCATCGTGACTGCTTGGGGGTCCAGGGCGGGATCTAGTCAAGCATCGCAAGAATACAGTACAAGTATGTCGCGTGGCATGCCTGTCAAAGATCTATTGCCGGGCCTCGGTTTCTTATAAACTTGAAAATCCCGAGCGGGCCCTCACACAAAAGAGAGTGGAACACTGCCCACGTTACCCACCACTTGATCCCGCTTGTGGGGTGCGCGGTCCAAGAGCATCCCTCGTTTTCCGGAGCCAGGTTTTTTTGGGGTGGTTTTTTGGTTTTTTGGGGTATGCTTTTGGGTTTAGGGTATGTTTTTGGGTTTAGGGTATGTGTTTGGGTTTAGGGTTTAGGGTTTAGGGGTTAGGGGTTAGGGATTAGGGTTTAGGGTTTAGGGTTTAGGGTTTAGGGTTTAGGGTTTAGGGTTTAGGGTTTAGGGTTTAGGGTTTAGGGTTTAGGGTTTAGGGTTTAGGGTTTAGGGTTTAGGGTTTTAGGAGGGTTTTAGGGTTTTAGGGTTTTAGGGTTTTAGGGTTTTAGGGTTTTAGGGTTTTAGGGTTTTAGGGTTTAGGGTTTAGGGCCTAGGGCTTAGGGTTTAGGGTTTAGGGTTTAGGGTTTAGGGTTGAGAAAACCAAAAAAACACCCAAAAAAAAACAAAAAATATATACCCAAAAAGAACCCCCACCCTTTCCGGAGCCAGGTTTCCTGAGCCAGGATTTTTTCGGTATTTTCCTCGTTTGCTTGGCGTATTCCCCAAAGCCGACCGGCGGTTGTGCGTGGAAGGCGCGCGAAGGGCAGAGTGCACTTGGGCGGATCAGAAAGGTTGGGTTTGCAGTCTTGAGAGGCTTTGAGGTACTTCCTAGGCAGCACTTGCAATATTTCAAGGCCACGCCCAAGACCGGATTCGGAATCCCTAGAGCCCATTCAGTCCCCCCCCTTGTGTGCCTGGGCTCTGAAGGAAGGTCTCGATCGTAGCAGGAGTTCGGGGCTTGATGCTCAGGCGGCAGGCTGCAACATCTGATTTTTGCCCGGTCGCCACAGACAGGCTCCATGCCAGCATTTGTAGAATCCATCGGCTAGTTGGAGACCACTCTCATGTGCCGTAGTGCACAACGCCGGGTTTTCAAATTTCTCTTTGTGCAGAAGATAGGCCGGCAGGACCGTGTAGGAAAGCACACCGCAAAGTTTTGACTCTCTTTGTGTTCCAGGAGTCATTCCTGATTCCTGAGGATGGCTTTCTGAACAGCAACTGCGAAAGCCAGTGCACTGTTGTGGTTGGCCGTTGCCGAGTTGGCCATGAAGTTGCAAGCTTGCGGTCGGGGAGGCGGAATGGGTTCATCGGCCCACTGTTGCCAAGGCCATGCTCCGGCAACGCGGTTTGGTGGCTTGGTCAGGCAGCTTTTTGTGATGGGCGTAGGGCATAGGCCCGGAAGGGCCCCCGAGGTCGCAGCAAGTTGGCATGCTTCCACAACACCGGAAAGCGCAGCATGAAAAGGCAACAACTTTTGGGCCAGCAAAGGACAGCGAGGATCTGACTCGTCGGGTCAATGCTTCGGAAAAGGCGGAGTATGGCGGATTCCTGCTACAGGAAAAAACACTGCACTCGGGCCAACGCATAAAGAGGTTCCCTATGAGCTTACAACCAAGCTCAACCAGTTCGATCCCCCACGGCGCCGCAACTTCTTTTCTTGATTCGCTGCTAACCTGTTCTTGGCAGTTGGTGCCCTTATGCCTAGCTTGTAGGAGCCCTGTGGGCACGAAGCCCCAGAAAATTTGAACGTTTCGTTGGGACTGAAGCTCGAGCCGGTGTCCCGGCGCTTAGGCGGGGGCTGCGTAGCGATGCGTAGCGATGTAACTTCAAGGCCCAGCGGCTGCTTCTCTAGCTTGTCCTTCCTCTGCAACTCTTCCTGCTGCAGGTTCATGAACCGTCATCATTTGGGCACTGGGGCACATAGCAAAGGTTGGCATCACCCAATGAGTGACACAGTTCTGATGCCACAAAGGGCACATGCTGGGCCAGGTCCTGTGCCACGCACTGCATGGCCTCAAGACGTGTGAAGGCAAGCTCCCGTGCAAACAGCCTTCGTGTGCTTCTGTATTCCTGCCCTAGTCGCCGACTTGTAGAACACACATCAGCACACAGCGGACGAAACAACAGGAGGATCATGGACCTCTCTACCGTCTCCAGCCCCAACCATGCCTGCTGCAGCTTGTAGCCTAAGCAGGCTGTCAACAGAGCAGTAGCATTTGCGGCTCAGTGACCTAGCTGCTGGAACACATTGAACCACAAATAACTTAGCCCGTTGCCAATCTCGATGAGAGGCTGACGCATGCTTTTCCTCGAGATGTCCATGTGCACATTACGGCATTGAGGGGAACGAACCCATAAACAGAGGTGCTGTGTTCGCATGAGTTTGTCAGTTTTCTCCGCGCTCAGTGCCTGTCAATGACGGAAATACGTCTAAGCAGGCTAAGCCAAGGCCCAAGCATATCGACTTTGGTTGGAGCACCAAAGATGATAGCCTTCTGCATGTAGTTGATCTGAATACTGATGCCTGCAGCCGCCCGCCCTGGTCTATACAGTCCTTGTTACGAGCAAGCTGGTCACCTTGATAAGTGATCCCGGTACCAAGCCAATCTGCGCAAACCCCACCTTGCTGACGTGAGGCATTGGCCATCCAAGTCTCAGCAATGTTAAACGGCCTCAGACATACACTTGCACTTCCTTGAACCTCCCATTGAATGCTTTGAGAGACTGTTGCGGGCAAAGGCTGTGACACGATGGAAGCTGCATTCTCAAAATCCTCAATGGTCATGCTCACGTACACCTGCGGAGGAATGGGTGGTGCAGTAGAGCGCAGCATCCCGAGGCATGATATGAACTGCCTCTGAAAGCTGCTTGATCAAGCGGAAGAAAATGATTTGCTTCAGCGGGATAACCTCAGCAACTCCGAACATAGTCTTCCCCGCTGTCCGCTGCCCCAGTCGGCCCGAGCCCATGATTCGCTACAGGCCTTGGGGTTGAGATGATGTGCCACTTGGCCTTTGCCCTGGGTGCCGAGCATAGTCCTTGAGCTTGCCCTCGCAGATCTCATCGGAGGCGATTTGGTCCAAATAGGGTTTGGCATCCTCACATCTGACGAAAAGCCGGGTGACGTTTCAGGTTTGGGGCGCATTTGCGGCCTCGGAATAAAGTTCAGGGCTGCAGCGTGCTGCAGCCCCTCAGAACCCAGCTCTACTCGCATGTGCTCACCATCCAAACCCCATCCTGACACAGCGACAGCGGGGTGAAGTCGGACTCCACCTCGGACAGATAAAGTAAAACGTTTGAAGCACAGATAAGCACAGATGCAGATGCACTTCGGATGCACTTTAAAGCATCTTACCGATTCTAAAGGCAAGATGCGATGCCATGCATTCTGACTTCACTTCAAGCACTCTAGGGCCTACCCGAAGTTGATAAACGCACAATGCACATGAAAACCCCCCCGTGGACCATCGGACGTCCTCAATTCTTTGGCTTAAGGAGCGGCTAGGACCAGGGGCGTGACCAGGCCAAAGAGCTTGGCACAAGGCTCTGCAGCAAGGTTAAGCCTCGTATTGGAAGGCCATGGACTCTAAGGAGCTTCTCAAGGTCCCTTCAAGCTTCGCGGTCTTCAGCTTGCATCGACGTTTGGAGGTTGCATAGTTTTAAGCCGCGCCTTTGTGTCTCGGTGAAATGGTGCTGTTTTTTGTTTCTGAGCTAGCGGTGCCCTTAAAACCTTGGCTGCATTTCACCCCTCCAACTGCAAAATCAAAATTTTCGAGCTTTGGCATCAGCCCGCCAGCATTTTCGCAACGCTAACTGTAACGTTACCTGGTCGTTAACTGAATGCTATCTGAATTGATTTCTCAACAATGCGTGTTCCATGGACATTCATGCTCCCTACCATTCTGACCCGACCAGCCGGCTTTGCACTCACTCTGTCGCGTCTGTACGTTAATCGCCGGTGCTTGTAGCACGTGTGCTTGAATCGCCACTGCGTGAACCGCCCGTGCCAAGCGCGGGTGCTTGAACCAGTGCCCTAGCGTCACACTACATGTCACATCGGCCAAGCTCAGGGCAAGTTCTTCTCCGTGATCTGACCTCCGCTATTCACCATGCACGCACCCATGCACGTAATGATCGGACAGCTTGTGCTTGTGCTCTTTGCTCAGTACCTGCTCGCATTAGCGCACGCATCGTCCAGCAATACTGGATGCTGTGACGTGCTTTCAAGTAGCCGGGGTACCGAGCGGGCGAGCCGTGTTTGCATCGAAACACTATGACTGCTTCACGTGCAAATGCGCGGTGCAGCTCTTCGACTCTTCGAGCCGCTGGCTGCTGATGGAATCACGGGTTGGCACCTTGGCTATCTGCGGGGCACGTGCCATAGAACCCGGCGAACTGCAAGGAAAGTCTGACGATCATACCACAGCAAGCAGAGCCTACCCAACATTTTGCTATATTTTGCTTACCTTGTGCCAGAAAGGGGCTTCGGTAAGTCACATCCTGACTGACAAGGCTAAAAACAGGTTATGATAGGCTATGCATGCTTGGTCAAGAATAGGCTATGCATCATCGGCAGGTAGCGGTAGAAATCATGCATTGGTTTTGGATAGCGCCTACGGCGAGATGCAGTCAGGCAGTGCAACAAACACAACCAAGACCCACACGCTCTGGGCACTGAAGAGGAAGGCATTTTTCTTTGCCTGGCAAGGCGACACTGGCTAGCCACATCGTTGCCTTGCCCCCTCGGCTAGTGCATCGAGCAAGATCCAGCATGATCGCCCGTGCACTCCGGGCTCTGCATTCCCAACCTTCTCGTACTGGTGCGAGCCGTCTGTGGACATCTCTAAGGAGGCCTTCAAGGACCGTCAAACGAGCAGTGAGTTTAACAAGTGGCTGCTATTGAAGTATTCTAAACAGTGAATCTGAACCACAGCAATTGGAGTACTTAGTTGGGGCGGGTCTGATCCATTTGCATCCCTACTCCCGGAAGTGCATACGCTCCACCCTGGCCCTGTTTCAAGCTCATCCTGCGAACGCTTGCAGCCTGAATGTCCGAGTTCTCTTGAAACGGGACCTGGACAAAAAACAGAGATCTTATCAAGCGAGGGTGTCAAAGAAATCACTGGTGTCGCTGTCTGGGTCCACGACGCACAACATTGCAAGAACTGCCCGTGATGCGAGGAGCTCCAACCTCAGATGACAGATGGCCGCATGAACACATGCCTCAAAACCCAGCGTCCCCCACGGCACTGCCCAATGAGTTTCAGACTCGCTCTTGGGCATGTTCTGCTTGGCACCCTGCGCGGCGACTAGTGATGCAGTGATAAAGACGCCTTTTTGGACTTTGTGCTTCTCATTCCTCCATTGGTCTGCAAAGAACACAACAGAGTTTGGTTCGTGAACTGACGGTCACATGAACGGCTGCCAGAGACTGCAGGTGGCGTTTTCAATCTCAGCGAGCACGGCAGAAGCTGCAATGATTGCGCTGAAGGAAACCACGCCCTCTGCAACCTAATTCTTCAAAAATGACTTAAAAGGCGGCGGAACAACGAAACTATGCAGCGACCACAACGCAGTCGATTCATGCAATTGTTACTTGCACGGCCTTGCATGCTAGACGCCTTGGCTCAACACTGAAACGAGCGCCCCTTGCACTGCTTATACATACTCCAGCCGCTCGTGGTTGCCACTTGTGTTCAACAGGTGGGCTACTACAGCAACTGCTTCCATTTCCCCTTTTCAAGGGAAAGCATGTGTGAGATAAAAAAACTTGGTCAAACGCAGAAACCACATCGTGACAGATATCTCATGTACGAGCGGTGCGCATGGAGCCACGACCGAACCACGGTCCATAAGGCCCATATTCTTGATGAATCTGCGTTTGCCCAGGTGATGGCAATGGGGGGGTGGCGGGCGCTGATGGGTACGGAGGCCCATATCCACTCGTTTTCAAGCTGCTTCTTGTCAGCTTCCACGCGTGGAGCTAACCTCCCCGTAACTTATCGAAGCAAATTATAACAATGCCGTCAAAAATCCGAACGGGACCTGGCCGGGAGGGGGCAGGCAGGCTGTTTGTTTTAAAGTGCGGTGTACCAGCTCTTGATGAAAAGTGTGGTTCGGGTCCCTTTCTTTCAAAAATAGTTTTCAAACGAATGTCTCCCATTTGCCTCCCAGATGTCTGGACGCTGGATGCTTTGACGCACATCTGGGTCGAAGGTTTTGGGTAGAAAGCCTTCAGCCTGCGGCCCTACCCTCGCCCCTCCCCAAGCCCCCAAGCTCTCAACCCGAAACTCTGGTTTTATTGGGAACCCTACGTGGCATGGACTTTTTGTGTACTCTTTGGCCCTCTTGTGCACAGTTACGCTCACAATCACGTCCCCCCTCCCCTCGCTTCACCCAGACCAAACCATCAAGCATGCCATTTCTCTTTCGTCCCTTTCGATCTCCCTCCCTGCTCCTCTTTCCTGCCTACAACTGTCTTCTTCATTCAATGAGAAGGATAACAAGACGATCCTCCCGACGTGTTTCCCTCTTCCTCTTCCTTCTCTTTCACTCCTCCTCTCCGGTTTTTATTTCTCTCTCTCTCTCTCTCTCTCACTCTCTCCCAATCTCTTTCGTTCTCAGCCCTCCCATCTACTCTTCGCTTCCCCCCTCTCCTTTCCATAGTCTTTTCTGTGAAGAATAAGCAAGGCAAAGATAACAGTAAGCAAGAGAGAAGAATGAGCATCATTGTAGGGAGCAAAAAGGTGAATTCCGCCTCCTCTCGTCCTCCTCTTTTCTTCTCCTTTTCCTCTTAGAACATCTTCGATATTAGTAAGTATTCTATGCTCACACAAAACATATACGCCTATATACCTATGTTCCAACAGAGGAGAGCACAAACCGAAAGAGAGAGAGAGAGAGGGAGAGGGGGGAAGCTAAAACACGCATTAACATAAAAGCGAGAAGCCGAAGGTGATGAAGGGCAGTAAGAGACGCTTCCAAGACCTCCAACGCTAACATACTCAGGGAAAACATGGGAAAACTATGTTAAGAATACTGCCCGCATAGAAACTAGAGGCAGGTGGACATGGAAGAATCATCCCCTCCGCTCTCATCAGAGTTCCGACCGCCAACTGGATCAAGCATGCAGAGCTCAAAACAGAAACAAATGGACCTCACGGGAGTTCCTAGATGTTCCTAGTGTCTGCTTGCCGAACGTATAGTTGCTGCCGTACAAGGCTTTCCATGAAGGCATGCAAGACTGTGCATGGAGCAATTTTTGTACGAGGACCCAGGATGACTTAGGAAGACTCTGCTGCCTATATACATTCAAAGGAAGGTTACGGCGCAGCAGGCTCTCAAGAGTGCTTGTCGCAACCTGAAACACAAAACCCGATGCCGACAAACTGTGGCAATCTCCATGGCTCTCACGTGTGCGAAATTTTTATTCGAAGCACATCCTTGAGACTACAAATGCTTTCGGCGACGGCACTGTTGATAGGCCAGCGACCGATGCCGGCGGGATGTCAAAATCTGTGACCTGCAAAGACACACAACACCCTGCCTATCTCCTACCTCCACGTGCACAATCAAAGGGGAAAGCGTCCACTGGCGAACAGGAACAATCCGAAATCATGAGGAATGAGTGTCGGGACTCTGTCGCGAAGTGTCTTTACCCCAGGCACCGACGCTTGGACCTTCTTTCTGGGCATCCGGGCAGAAAGCCCACAACGTGCTGGAAGACTGACATCCTTCAAGCTTTACAAGGACCTCGGACGAAGACACCAGTCACCTGCAGCTGTGCACCTCATTGTGGCACCTTGCCTCTTCAGCCACCCTGCGGACAATCAAGTCCTTGTCCTTAGGTCAGGCACACGCCGGATGAAGCCTGACACACAGCCACGCCACAATTCCCCATAGGCACCGAGTGTCGTTGGCAGACATTCCCGTCACGGTTCGAAGCATGCGCTTGTCCACCGTTACGACCTCGGCTCCGAATCTGTAGAAGTGACCCGAGAACAGGCGCTGCCTCGTGCGTATACCGTATAAGATATAGATAGTTTCAGGAAATTACAACACACGGATCTACCACGACAGCCAACCCCCCACGTCCAGTACCAACACCACTACTACCTCTGCCGCCTCGACTACCACAACCACTGTCGCTGCCACGACTACTGCTGCAAGTCGAGGCCAACTGCTGCTGCTGCTGCTGCTGCTGCTGCAGCCAAAGTCACCAGCGTCTGCAGCGCTCGGAGGGCTTCTCGACGAACGGAGGAGGACTTGTCCTACACTTGACTTGACTTCTGACCACTACCAGCATGTCGCAATCGGCCCGGAATTGAACCTTGCAAGCGAGTCCGATCACCATTGTACTTGCACAGCTCCTTCAGTGCGCTTTGTGCTCGGCCAAGTGCCATTCGATCCCCAGGCTCTGCCAGCCGCCCAATCCTTGAGTCGCATCTGGGAGAGGGTTTCTTTAGCGTCTAGCGGCCGGCACTGGGCCAACCAGAACACACCCTATGTGGGCTTCACATCAAGGAAAGAATGGCAGGCGCGAATGGGACAATGTCCATAGCTGGAGTAAGAGTCGCGATGCAGGTGTTGAAGCACATTCGTAGAAAAATGAGAGATGCTGTGTTCCAAGTGCCCTTCATGCCAAGCATAACCGAGCATCTGCTCGCTCATTTAAGAACTACTGCGTGCAGTAGGCAACTTTGATACCACACGTGCGCCCTGCAGCAGCACATGCTGAAGATTATGCCAGAGCATGCAATTTGCTGGAGTTGCTATGAGACTCGATTCTTGCACCGCAAATATCGCATGATCTGAAACAGAAACAGCAACATCCACAAAAGACACTTGTTCCGACTAAGATCTGAAGGTGATACTGCCATGCAGCAACCAAATCAACCAAGGAGTCGACCCCTGTACTGCAACAGCACGCATCTCTGCATCCGCATCCTGCAACCTGCCACATGCAGCTGATAGCGTGCATTGGAGAGGGACACATAAGACATGACGAACGTGCTTGTGTGGGTGCAAAACGGAGCCTAACTTTCGCTGCCTAGCTAGCAGATGCCGTCACCAGCTTGCCTCTCAAGCACTTTCCTGAGGGCTGCCTGGCGGCAAGGACTGTCAGCTTGATGTTGCAGACAAACATCAATCGACCACAGCTGCACCGAAACAAACCCCTTCTTGCATGTCTGTCGGCGCGCACTGTGCGGACAGGAACAAACAATTCGTTGGAGAGTCCAAAGCCAACAAAAATGCCACTTGGAGCTGCACGGCTCGTCCATCTTGGCCCATGGAGGCGGACCTTCGTGCAAGCCCGAAGTTCTCGGAAAAGACCCGTGCCTATTCGGCAAAGCTGAAGAAAGATGGAAAGCTAATAACTACCCAAAAGCACCACACAGCGTGTTGGGGAATGACGGCTGCTGGAAAAATGTCAAAAACAGCTGCTTTCTCTTTTCAAGCACATGGAACCCGACATTTACACTTGGGCACAAAACCCAAACCTGAAATTTTTAACAAATGTTCGAAGTCTCAGAACTTTCTCAACGTAACTTTCTCCAGGTTCTCATGGTGACCTTTAGCATTAAAAGTAGCTAGACAGATTTTTGGTTGATCTTTTGAGAAAGTTGAAAAATATCGAAACAGATTTCTCTCTGTAAAGCAGACATGGAACCCGACATCTGGACACAACAACCAAAACCTGAAATTTTGCAAATGTTCGAGGTCTCAAAAACTTTCTCAAAATCTTTAACGTGGTCTTTAAAGCCAAACGAGCTGGAAAGAAAATCGAAAACAGCGGAACCCAACATACGACTGCTCCTCCTTCCTCCTTCTGCTACTGCGACAACCACGACGACGACTCCTACTACTCCGACGACTGATACAACTACTACTGCTGCTGCTACTGCTACTGCTACTGCTACTGCTACTGCTACTGCTACTGCTACTGCTACTGCTACTGCTGCTCCTACTACTACTACTACTACTACTACTACTACTACTACTACTACTACTACTACTACTACTACTACTACTACTACTACTACTACTACTACTACTACTACTACTACTACTACTACTACTACTACTACTACTACTACTCCTACTACTACTCCTACTCCTACTCCTACTCCTACTCCTACTCCTACTGCCACTGCTACTGCTACTACTGCTACTGCTACTGCTACTGCTACTGCTACTGCTACTGCTACTGCTACTGCTACTGCTACTGCTACTGCTACTGCTACTGCTACTGCTACTGCTACTGCTACTGCTACTGCTACTGCTACTGCTACTGCTAC